AACTAATTTATTTAATGAAAAAAAATTATTTTCTTTTTTTGATAAGCTTGTAGAAGAAAATATGAAGAAAGATAAATTTAGATTAGAAGTTTTAGTCAATTAAGATTCAACTAACTTTGATGTTAGAAATTTAATTATTTTGTCTTCTAATTTAGAACTTAATAAATCTTTAAATTTAATCAAAGAGGTTATATATAGAAATAAGAATTTTGATATTTTAATAATCTTGTAAGTAATTTATATTAATAATATATAATTTATATCAAAACCAAAAATGTATATAGGAGAGCACTTACAGATTTAAATACTAGAAATTAAACAAATAATGCCTCTATATTAAAAGATGCAACTTATTTTGTAAGTTTTTAAATTAAGTGAATCATTAAAATAACAATTCATTATCAAAGCAATATTATTTTTAATAAACTGCACTATTTCAGTTATTCTTTATATATTAAAATTTATTACTGCTTAGTAAGTATTTGCTTTTTTTTTTTAATTGAATTATTATAAGAAAATTATTATTTTTCTTGACCTTTAGCTATATCAGTTATTATATATTTTAATTTATCTTGGCCAATGACTATACTTGACAATTAATAACATATTCTGGATTATAGCTTCTAAATTAGTAACTTCACCCTTTCTATATATATTTTTGTCAAATACTAATAAATTTTTTAAGTTGAGTTAATAAAAATAAAATTGCTTTTGCTTATTGTTGATTACTATATATTGCATTAATTCATAAATACTTTTTCAGAATAAAATTAAATAAAAATTTTTGATCTATAAATAGTAATTGTTATCTGCATAATTTTCAACACTTTATTTTAAAAAGAAAACAAAACTAAAATAGCAAAAAAATTGTATATTTTTATTAAAAGATTTCAAGAACTTTATTTTATTTTATACTAAAACCAAATTTATCTATATTTATTTCTAATAAAAGTATTGATAATATCTTTTTATATTAATATATGAAAAGGTGTTAGTAGAAACCAAACAAATTGTTTTTAGTATGTTTTTTTAAAATTTTAAATTAAAATATCTTAACAACTATTAAACCAAACTTGGTAATTTTTTATTTATTTTAATTCTATAACTATATAGAATTAAAATAAAAAAAATTTATCAAGTTTGGTTTAATAATTGTTAAGATATTTTGCTTTAAAGTTTAAAAAAAATTTACTTAGAAACAATTTGCTTGGTTTCTACTGACACCTTTCTATATACTATTTTTGTAAATAAAATTATGCCTAATAATATCTGTGAACAAATTTAAAACTTGCAAATGAAAGTATGATACCTTTACAAATTAGTATGCATTTCTGAAATTCATATAATTTGGAACTATTACAAATATTACTATAAATAAGATTTTTCAAATTTTGAAGTTTAATAAGTAGCATTTGTTTTTTTTTAATAATAAGAGAAAAAAGTCTTGATAATTAACTTATGCTATTGAATTATTTTTTTTAAAGTCTAATTCTAAAGATTTCTATAATTTAATCAAGAAAGTGATTATAATTAGTATATACTTAGAGCATAATTATAGTAACAAGAACTTTAAATTCTAGTTAATTTTAAACAATCAAGAATTTACTGTTTTGCCAAATTCTATAAAACAATAGGAAAGTTTTTTTTAGACTGAAAATAGTATTTATAATACTTATTTTTTTTTTTTTATTTGAAGTGGCAATCTTGTCTAATGATGCTGCCCAAAACTTATTAGTTTTGGATTAACTGAAACCAAAACTGGTATTACTAGTTTTGGTCATAATTTATTTTTTAAAACTTGTCCGAAAATCTGAAACTATATTGAAAATTTAAACCTATATCAAAAGACTGAAACTATATCAAAATTTCAAAACTATATCAAAAGCCTGAAACTATATTAAAAGCCTAAAACTATATTAAAAGTCCAAAACAATATCAAAAGTCTGAAAACTATACTAATTCAAAACTGTTCAAGATCACAAAAAAGTTTAAATCGAAATTTTGAAAATTCATCTATGAAAAACAAGTAAATTTCATAAGTTATTTATTAATTGCTATTAATTTAGAATTGATAGTATCATTTGTGAATTGATATATTATTTTGGAGTCAGTACGAGTTTTATCAATTAATTCTTATTTGTGCATATCAAGTATTGTTTTTTTTTTAGAATAATAAAATTTACTACTGCATTATAGATAAAAATATATTCTTGTAAGAATTATTACTTAATTTAAACAAATTAAGTTGTTTATTACTAAAAAAGAATCATGAAATTTTAATGTTAAAGTTGTACAAAAAGATCCAAAACATGTTTCAGGATATAATTTTTGATTATTAGAAAAGCTTTTTTTTTAAAAAAATAATATATGTATACTATAAATATATATACATATATATATGTCTTAATATAAATATTAGTTACATTGAAGTAATATTAAAGAAATCAGAATTTAGAAATCATTGATTTCTAAACTTATACAAAAAAACAATTAAAAATTTTAATTCTTTTATAAGAATTATTACATAATTCGAGCAAATTAAGTTGTTTATTACTGAAAGAAATTATAAAATTTTGAATGTTAAAGTTGTACAAATAGATCCAAAACATGTACTAGGATATAATTTTTAATTATTAGAAATGTTTTTTTTTAAAAACAATATATATAAGTGTATATTATATAAATATATATACATATATGTAAGTCTATTTATAAATATTAGTTGTATTATTAGGAAGTAATGTTAAAAGAAATTAGAAATCGATGATTTCTAAACTTATACTAAAAAATAATTAAAAATTTTGATTTAAAGATTGGCTTTGGTAGCAGTTGTACCTTAAGATATGAAATTGGTTAAACTCAGATAACTGATTTGATATTAAAAATATTTAATTAACTTATCTGATTAATTCAAAAGATAATATATATGCTGTATAAGTGATGCTAAGAAAAAATAAGACTTGATCATATATAATTAAAATTCTTGTTATTTTTACTAAATGCCAAGACTATCACCTTAGGTTTCCTCCAACCTTTCTATGCTTAAAATTAATTTGAAATAATTAATAATAGTGTTATATAGAAATGGAGGTGTAATGTCACATTGGGTGTCTTAAATAAGTAGCACAAATGTAGTTTAGAAATCTTTAATGTAATTGTTTTATTATTTAATAAAGTTTCTACTTTGGCATAACAAAAAAAAAAAAAAAAAAAAAAATTCTTGTTATTATTCATATAATATTATTAGATATATGAATCATGAAGCAAGATAAAGTAGATAGAAATAATTTCTTTCTCCAACAATCATTCTATTGATAGTCTATTTAGCTGACATCATACATTAAAGTTTTGCTTGATATGATGTCTCTGCTAAATTACAGTATAATTTATGATTTTACAACTTTCAATTTTTGGTCTTAGCTAGTTATAATAAATAATTTAAATCAATACAAGTTAATAACATCAAAGTTGTTATATATTGTGTGAAGTGTTAATATAGAATATTAGATAGTGTAAAAAAAAAAATGTAAAAATATTTAATATGTAAGTTTATACTATATAGTATGTATACATATATACAATTGTAATAAATTTTATAACAGTTACTGATCTAAACTAACATCTATATTAAATATGCTTATAAGTGACCTGATTAGTTTTATATATATTGTTATGGGTAGATTCGACTCTAGGACCTTAAGGAAACATTGCATAATGACCCATGATCTGCATCATGAAAACCATCGTACCATGATACCCACAACCTAAGACAAATCAAGCTCCTCATTAAGTGATGATGCCAATTCATTGAAGAAAAAGCCACCTGCCTTATTTGGAATCCAACTGTCAAGGTAATATTACCTTGACAGGAAAAGTCTGTGGCTGTGTCAATGTGTTGTTATATGTTAGATTGTATGTCATTGTGAGATGATGCTAAAGTAATGATAGATGAATTGTAAGAAAAAGGGAAGAGTGTTAGTGAAAAAGAAAAAAACAGTCTATGACAATGAGAAAAAGGGTGTCAAAGCTATGTTCCAAGTTTTCCTTTTTCCCCCAAAATGTTCTATAAAAAGTGTGCCTTCTGCCCTATAGATGCTATATATATATGAGATATAGTACCCTCCTGCCTCTTAAAAAAAACCCCGAATTGCCTTGTAACTTGTAATCTGCCCTGTAAAATAAATAAAGTTTTTAATTAATAAAGTGTTAATTAAACTTAAATAAACAATTAAAATAAATAAAAACCTTACGTTTCTTTAAAGTATCCCCTGGTAACATTCTCAAGGCCACCATAGACTAGTGCCAAATCGAATCTGTCTTACCTGCCTTGAGCGACGTTATGCGACATCGACAAATACAAAGCGACAATTCATCACATTTCTTCTTGTCCCTATAGTGCTGTTCCTGACCCTGTAACCTGTATCAATATAAACCAGTTTTTTATATATCTAAGGACTTTTCTTACAAGATTTTGTTAGGTTTTATACCAATAAAGATCAATTTAATTGAAATCCTGATTTAGCTTTTTCTGGTAATTAATTTTAAATAAAAAACTTATCATTATAGTAGTGCATAGCTTCTAAATTCTAAAATATACCAGTTATGCATTACCTTTTTGCAGCATTTAAATTTAATTCAAAAATGTCTTTACATTTTCTATTAAATTATATTTTGTATTATGTATATAGCTTATTATTTTAGACATGAATTTTACAATATACATATGACCAGTTACATGTAACTTTTAGTGTATAGCTATTTTATATGTAACTTAATCTGAATAGTCTTGTAGCGAATATGCTGCACGTGATTATATAACATTAATTATTAATAGCATAATTAATGAGTCAAATTGCAAAGTAAAAAAAAAAAAAATTATCACTTTTTTTTTCAGATAACTGATCAATCTAATAAAAGACTTACTTAATATAGCATAATCATACTGAAGTCAAAAACTTAACAAGTTTAGCAAATGATTAGAATAATTTTATTATAACAATATGAATTATTGTAATATTTTAAGATTTTTGAGGCAAAAACAATAATCAGTTTCTTAATTTGAATTAAACATAAGAATGGATACATTATAATCAAATTAACATCATGAAATTATTTATTGAAATATATTATGATATTTATAAAATGTTTATTTATTGGTGCTTTTGCCAAATATAATTTTTTTCTTTGTATTAATAGCTTTGCATAATTTTTCTTATACTAGCTTAGTTTTCCTTTATGCTAAAATAGTTATTTATTTATTAGTGATTTATTTTTTTTTTATTTTTAAAAATCTATTTATTTTGGCATAAGCCATCTTTCATGATTTGCATAATTTCTTCAATATCGTTATATGATTCAATTTCAGTAACTATGACTTATCTTTAATAGCTTTCTAATATTTATCTAAAGAAGCTGAGAAAGAGGCATATCCAAAACATCCTAGAAGAAGACCACCAGATCCTGTTTGGGATCATTTTTTTGCAACTTCATTGAAATCACCTAGTTATTTTGCTGCCAAATGTAAATATTGTTCTATACAATTTAATCATGAACATCCTAATCAGCTTAAGAAACATCTTGCAAAAGAATGTGAAGATGAAAATTTTGATAATGATATAAGAGAAAAATATTAAGAAATTATAATTCAAAGACAAAATTTAAAAGAAAAAACCCAAGCATCTAGTTCAAAAAATTAATCTAAAAAATAGAAAATAAATATTAATGATTATTGAGAAAATGAAAATCAAATTTTGGCAGGTTCTAAGAAAGAGGCAGTTGATTATGCAATTATTAAAGCTTTTGCTATGTGTGGGCTTTCATTTTCCATAATTGAGAATCCATAGTTTATCAATATACTTAAATCTCTGCAATCTTTATATATGTTATCTACTTATGAATATCTTGCCAATACTTTATTAAATGAAGAAGTTATTAAAGTTAATTAAGAAACTAAAGAATACTTAAAAACTGCAAATAATTTAACACTTGGTAAATTACTTTTAATGTTATTACTGCATTAAATTTTAATTTATATAATTTTATTAATTTTATTTTAATTTAGGATTAGATAGTTGGACAAATCCTCAAGATGCTTCAATTTATAATTTTATGATAATAACTTCTGATCATAAAGAATTTTTATATGCCCTTCATAATTTATCTCATATTAGCTATACAGCTGATTTACTTTTTGATAAAATTGAAAAAATTTTAATTAAAATTGGATCTGAAAAATTTATTGGAATAATTTCTGATAATGCTTTAGCTATTTCTGCAGCATGTAGACAGATTAATCAGAAATATCTTTTTATTTTTAATCTTTATTGTATTGTTCATTTTGTTAATCTAATTAGTCAAGATATTTTAAAATATAGATTACCTGTATGCATTTTAAAGTATTGTAATAAGATTTGTTATTTTTTTAAAGCTAGTCATTTAGCTAAAAGTTATTTAAAAAAAAATATTAAAGAATTTAATATTTACAGAGGTGGATTAAAACTTTTTATTGAAACTAGATAGACATTAGTATATAAAACTGTAGATTCTGTTTTTAGACTAAAGCCTGTATTAGAAAAAATAATTATTATTAATTATATACTTGAAATTTGGTTTACTATATTAGTATTAATATATCATAATTAATTATTTTTAAGATATTAAATAATCATTTTGATATTATTACTAATTGAGATGTACAAAGAATTTTAAAGTTTTGAGGATTTTTTTATGATGTAGAACAGATATCCAAAATTTTTGCTCCGATTAGAGCTGCAATTTTGCAGTTAAAAAAAGCAAATTGCACAATAGCAGTCTGCTTTATTTAACTAGTTCATTTAATTTCAACAATTTATTATATTCCAAAAAAAAAAAATACAGTTACTTTTAAAAATCGATATATAGAAATTGTCAATAACCATTAGAATGAACTTGAAACTAAGCCATATATTTTAGCATATATACTTTACTCTGAATATCAAAGTATTGTAATCTAAATAGATTTTTTAAGTATTATATATTTTATAGTACAAAAATATAATTATTAATAATAATAAATTTTTATAGGTGCTGTTTAAAAAAAGGAGTATGGACACAAACTGCTCTTTACACTTGAACATTATAGCAATTAATAGGATACAAAAATAAATTATTTACACAAACTCTTATTTCCCAAATTATCAAATTTAGAGAAAATTAATTCTCATACAAAATCAGATATAATAGTTAGCTAATGATTTTTTTTATGTAATGAAGCTTTATTGAAGATAAGTTCAATAATTTTAAAATTTTAGCTAAAAAAATTTTTGCAATAACTCCTCATAGTGCATCATGTAAACAAATTTTCTCTATTCTGAGTTGGTTTTATGAGAAAAAAAATCAGCACTTAAGTTTAAAAAATTTAGAATCACTAACTAAAATTTGACATTACAATTTATTTAATGCATATAAAGAGTTATTATACAGTGCAAAAAACAAAACTAAAGATGAATTGGTAATGATGATTCAAAAATCATATCTGTTTGATAATGAGAATTATAGTGAAGAAATTGAAAATAAAAATAATGAAAATAGTAAATCAGATGATGATAATAATTTAGTGATTTCTAATTATCAAGTGGTAGTTTTAGTTATAAATGATATTGTAGATTTGAATCACTGAATATTTAATCAAGCAGATTATCAATATACTTTTAATGAAGAAAATAATAATTCAATGTATTAACAACACTCTCTCTGCTGATCATTCGTACACAAAATCAACAGAAGCAAATTGAAAATTTTCTCAAAAATGACTATCTTAACCAGCTTTACAGGCTTAAAGAAAAAGATAGAGCTTGTGTTAAAGGTATAGCAAGTGAAAGAGCAAGTAAATAGGTTACTCAGTAGTAGAGTTAAAAGGAAAAAACACATTATTCGAAACTTGGAAAATAAATTTGGGGAATTTGCTGTGACTTGGAAACATAGATCTGTTGATCACTACGACATGTAAACAGACAAACAAAACAAACACGTGTCTAGATAGATGCACACACAATCCTAATTAGGATAGTGAACAGCACACAACATAGAAAATTCGAGAATAAGCAAGAAACAGGCAGGAAATAATAATAACAGACAAAGATGATGAACATCACAAAAAGCTCAAAAGAAAGTCTAATGTCGACATATATCAAAAGAGCATACTTAGCAGTAAATAGTATACATAACAAAGTGTTTTTTA